AGAATTGTATAGCGAATATAGAGAATATTCTATAGAAAAAATTCATAGAATTGGATTTTTTACACAACTTCTTCTATTGAGGTAATTTCTATAGAATTTCCTCAGCTCAAATTTTCCACATTTTTGTTTGATTTTCTTGATGAAAAAAAAAGGAAAATTCGAGCTGAGAAAATGTTATCTCAATAAAATAACCAAATTCTATGAACTTTTTCCACTGAATATATTCCATGAAACATGTCAATAGAATCAACCAAAAACTAATAGAAAATTCAATAGAAATCGAATAGAATTGTCCAGCGAATTCGGCAGGTTTTTCTATTAATTTTTTTCGTGCGTAAAATCATGGAAATTTCACATTTGATTTATGTGGCAATTACAACTTCCTCAGTTTGAATCGGGAAGTTGAAAATTATCTCCATAAAAATTTCAGAAAAATATTCAATTTTTTGTTCTATTATTTCCGCTGAATTGCCGCGTCATTATTTTGGTGTGTCTAGACGCCAGATTGTCTGTCCGTCCGCAGGAGAAAGAGACTGTGACACTGTATACCTTACGTCACTTCTCCCTCTCCCCCTCCCCCCATCATTATCTCTATCGCTCTTTCTCTCTCACTCCTTCTGCGAGTCCCGGCACAACCGCAAATGACCGAAAATAAATAAATAAAAAGTATCAGTCCACTCTCCTCAAAAAACTTTCCTCCTCCATCCTCTTATTAACGCGCGTATGGACCCAATGTGAATGACAGACATGACGTCAACGACGGCCCGCAAAATTGTACTGAATGTAATTTTAATCGAAAGAACCTTTTGCCTGCAATGACAAGTGCATTTCCGTTTGTCGAAAAAAATTTTCATTTTTTTTCATTCACCGCTTGATTCCATTCCATTGGGATTAATTGCTTGATTCAACTCATTTTTCCTCAATGGAGAGAATGAAAAATAACGTTAAATGTTTTGGCGCTGGCATAAACAGAAGAGAATGAAGCTATCACTCGTTAGAATTCGTCTGTCGAAGCAAAACTTGGTGCTCGAGCATTTTATTTCGTGAATTTTTAATGTCAGCGGTTGAGGAATGTGAGAATACGTGACATGATTTTTGTGTTTCATTCAACGTTAAAGTATATATAAATACGACTGGGAAATTTTTTTATGAATCATGTCAAATCACGTCTAAATGAAATAAATAAACAAGTTGAATTTTCCAAATAGTTTTTTTGGCAATAAATAAGGGATTGAAATAATGCTCTTGTGACCTTGAATGTGACGTCACAAGTTTGACCCGTCAGCGCCACCTCTCGTTGAATTTTACGTCTTGAGAAATTAAATCAGTGCGATTGGCAGAAGTGAGGTGGTATAATTTAGGACACTATTTCAAGCAATGGCATAGATAAATGGACGACAGAATCGTTAATCACGACCGATGATTAACCTCACTTATTCTCTCTAGAGATGCAAAATTATTTTAAGATCGCGTTATACGATGAAAAAATTGCGATCATGTGACGCACAAATTTCCTAACAGCATATGGTAGTCACAAATAATTTCTCCGCGAATTGTTGTCACATCTGCGTCACAATACCGGTCCGTCAGCGCCATCTCCCGTCGAATTTGCGTTTTGAGAAATTAAATCAGTGCGATTGGCAGAAGTGAGGTAGTATAATTTAGAACACTATTTTCAATAATGACATAAATAAATGTCGCAAAATAATTTTGTGATGCGACGTCATACGACGAAAAAATGACGGTCATGTGACGCATAAATTTCTCAATTGCAAATGGTAGTCACAAGTAATTTCTACACGAGAGATGTTATTATGTTCTACACGAATTGTTGCTACAACATTTACGTCATAAGTCCGGTCAGTCAGCGCCATCTCCCGTCTAATTTGTGTTTTGCGAAATTAAATCAGTGCGATTGGCAGAAGTAAGGTGATATAATTTAGAACATTATTTCAAACAGTAGTATACATAAATGGACGAAAGAATCGTTGATCACAACCGATGATTAACCTCACTTTATTCTCTCTAGAGATGCAAAATGATCTTGAGATCGCGTCATACGACCAGAAAATGGCGGTCTACGCACAAATTTTTTACCTGCTAACGGCGGTCAAAAATAATTTATACGCGAATTGTTGTCAAAAATCCATACAGATGCATGATGACAGTCATAAATAAAAAAATTGTTCCAACTATAGAGATACCAAATAACCGTGATTTTCATTCCAAAATGGACATTACGCTAATAGGAAATGAATTAAAATGAGAATTGATAAAAAAAATTAAGTTGCATCAGACAGATGAAACAAGACAGTCATATTTTTTGGCCAATTGTGACGGTCATAAAGGAAGGGGGAATTGTAACAGCCGCCACAAACACCTCGTCACGTGACGGATCACGTGATCCATTTGCATCTCTAATTCTCAACACTGGAGCGGAAGTGGCGCCTCGTAGTGAGTCCACCCCGAAGTGTAGCGAGTTGTGACGTCATTATCCCGTCCCCTCACAAATTTTCAATAATTTCTATTGTACAAACAAAAAGACAATGATTTCTTGAATTAAAAATGATCTACTTCAATCATTTCTTCACAAAAATACAATTTTTCCATGATTATTGTCACTAAAAATTTATAATCACCAATTTCAACGAAAACCGCAATTTTTAGCCTCAATTGTGCCGAGAATGCATCGAGACTGATGAAAATAGTAAAAACCTATTTTCTAAAAATACAAAATGGAGCAATTCCCCCAAACCCATAAATTTTTCCGTCTCAAGTTCGCGTAATAAATTATGATGAAGTAATAGACCGAAGTAGGAGGACGTGCACGAGGCAAATTGGGTCTTCTGGACCTAGTTGTCCGCGCCGCGGCGGTCGGGTG